TCCATTCGTGACCCTTCTCTTCTCTGGGTTCACAGAACAGGTCATGAGGGGAACCAAACGGGCAAGAAGATACCAGGTCAGGCTGAGGTCTTGCATCCCTTCTGAGTCTCTTCTCCAGATGCAGCCAGACAGCATTGATTCCCACCACAGACACACACAGAATAAGTGGCCTTTTCAGGACCATTCCTTCATATTTGCAAGCAATTATGATTCTTTGCTAGTGGGTTCAGCTTTTGCTCATCTTGCCTCACTCAGTGCAGGATCAGGCCCACTCTGATAAGTCCACTGATAAGAGAGCACAGAGCTAACAAAATCTAGCCTAGCAAACCCCACCAAATTAATTGGAATAAAACTGATTTGGTTAAAAAGCTGGCACTGTTTATTAGAACAACATAGATAATAATGAGTCTGGGCGAGGGAAGACCAGCACATTATTTACAAATTATACGCCTTTCTATGTCTCTCTTGGTTTAGGGACCTTCTTATAAAACTTCCTACAGTTAGAAAGAAAACACAGTTTTGACTCACAACCTGGTATCCAGAAGAGATTTATTCTATTGTATGATTCTATGTTCTGAATTTAAGAAGAGAAAGCAACAACTTACAATCCATGAAAAGCTGCTGAAATATCAAAAACATCCCACAAACTTTATCTGCGCTTCACCACGTACATAATCCCCTTTGCTCCCATAGGAATTCTCATGGAAGCAATGATCGTTCATGGAAGAGCAAGACTGGATCAGGCCGTAAGGCTGTGGTACTTGGTCGAGAACTGGCATGTTCCCTCTCCTCTCCTCCCCCTGTAGGTAGACATTTCTCAGGGTCTTATTCTGAAGAATTTCTGTATTTACATGACAGCAAGAAAAGGGAATCCATCGACTCCCAGAGCTCAAAGATATTTGGAAATATGGACAGACGACCCGAAAGAATCCAGAAAGAAGCTGTCTGAATGGGAAGGATTTCTGAATAAACAACCATGCCTCCGGTGAAGGCAGATATTAACACGGTAAGCTACAGCTCTCCCAAATAAACAGCACTGTTTCTTCTGCCGATAAGCCTTCTTTTCAGAAGGCCTGACTACATGCTTGTAAAAATGTACTTTGAGATCAAAGACACTAATCTAAAGGGCTTTCAAAAATACTCCCTATGACATATATATATGCAATGTATTTCTATTCTTAAGCAAATCACAAATGACAAGAAAATTGTGACATAAAGCAGTGCACGTCCACTGGGGCAGCACAAAGTTAAGGGCAACACTGCTATTATTAACTCTATGTCATTGAAATCTTTCCCCCACCTTCAGAAACGCAGACTGTAAGGACACGGTGTCAGCCTTTACTTTGAATCGTCTGGATTTCTTTCCGTTTTGTGTCAACAAAGCTCAGCATTTCATAACGGAGATGACAGCCTCTTAAAATACATCTCGGGAAGGTTTCACATGGATGTGTGGAGGGGGACAGGCTTAAGGGTTATCACGGAAGGCAAGAGAGCCGACCGCGTTAGCAAATATTCCCAAACGTTAACTTCCAAAACGTTCTCTTTCTTCAAAAAAAATCTATTTATATCCTTCCTGCAGCGACTCTTCAGTCCCCCACCCCCTCACCCAAATGAGCTGCTTTCCGACTTTCTCTTTCAATACATTACGGCCAATTTCGGTCGGTCCAGAGGGAGGGAGAGGAAGACCCGCCAGCTCGGATAGCCTGTGGAACTATCCAGCTATTATTAGTTTATGCTCAAACTCCGGTGGGCACGGCCGGTTTGTGGGTACCATATTGTGTGCTTGAAAACGGGGATGGCGGGGGGAAAAAAAAAAAGAAGTCCTTTTTCGGTCTTTCCCCCCTCTCGCCACACGTAAGGCTCCGACAGCCGCCCTGCCGACCGGCACCCGCCGGGGAAGTTTGTGCTTTTCCAGCAACTTTGGGTCTCGCTCCTCGCCCCGCCGCTCCGGCGGGGAGCGGGCGGAGACCCCCGCGCCCGCCCGCATCCAGCGCGCCGGCACCGGCAGCGCCCGCCGCGGCCCCGCCGCCGCCGCTCCCCCGCAGGCCCCGGGGCGGCCCCGCGATGCGCCACCGCGCCGGGCCGAGCCGAGCCGCGGGGTCCCGGCCGGGGCGGCGGCACTTACGTGTGCTGCTGCGGGAAGCTGTAGCCGTGCGCGGCGGGGGCGGCGAGGAGCAGCAGCAGGGCCAGGTGGCCGCAGAGGGCCGGGGCGACGGGCGCCGCGCTGCCGGTCGGAGCCGCCATCGCCATGTTTCCATTAACGGCGCGGCGGGGAAGGGGCAGAGGCGGCCCCGCGGGGCGGGCTCCCCCCGCCGCCACTCGTGCGACGAGCGCGGCAGTCCTCGGCAGGGGCGGGGGGGCAGCGCCGCGCCGGCTGCGGGCACCGACCGCCGGCCGCTCGCTCGCCCCGCTGCCTGTCCGCGGCGGACCGGCACTGAGCGCCCGCCGAACGCTACTTTCCCTCAAATAGGCGGCCCGGCCCGGCCCTGCCTCCTCCCCGCCCGCTCCCTCCCTCCCTCCGGCCCCCCGCGCCGCCCCGGCCCCCGCCGCCCCGCCGCCGCAGCGCATGCGCCCCGCCCCGCGCCCCCCGCCGGTCCCGCCGCCCCCGGCCCCGCACCGGGATGGGGCGTCCCGGCCCCGCATCCCAGCCTTCCCTTCACCCCGCCCGCGGTCTGTCCCCCGACCCCTTTGCCCCCCGCCTCCAGGCACTGCCCCGCTGGCGGGTCCCCCCCGCTGCGAGCGGCGAGGGACATCGCGGCTCGTTCGCATCCTCCGCGCGGGTCTGTCACTGCCATTCCTGCCCGGGGACCGCGTTCCCCTGCGGGGCCACCTCCCGGAGACGAGGCGGCGGATGGGAATCTCCGGTTATGTTTAATAATAATAATGCCAGCTATGATATTTTTTTTAAGCGCGCTGTGACTTCGGGGAGTGTTCCCGGGCGCGGCAGGAGGGCAGGCAATAAATTCAGAATAGCGGAATTAACAACTGCAGCCCCGAAATCACCAGCGTTTCTGAGCCAGACTTTTGAAGGCCTGGATTTTTTCAACGCTGTCTTCTGGGTAGCTGCAGCGTAATTTCATCTTCCCTAAACTCAAACCCAAGCTGCTCGCCTTCCAGGGAACTGCCCACTGCCAGGGCAGGGACAGCTGGGAAAGGCAGAGGCAGGAGCCCTGTCCACAGGCTCTTCCCTTCCCTTCCCAGATAGCCTAAACCTGCATAATCTGGTGCCAGGCGATGCATAGCACAAACTCGCCCTCTTTAACTTCAGAAAATCAGTAATATTGACAGGATGGCCAGATGTGGACAGATCTCTTGAGGAAGAGCCTCACAAACTAGGTATCAGCGTTTTAAAGTTGCAAAGGCTCTTTGGTCCTGCCCACTGTAGCAGCAAGGCAGCAGGACAGGAGCCCCTGGCAGTTTGGATTCCATCCCAGAGGTTTAAATGCCTTCCAGCTTGGGAAGGGGAGAGGATTTTGGTAAGGAGAGATTGCTTCTCTGAAGTGCTCATGTCCTCCTTTGCAAGGAAGGGTTTTCTTCTGCCGATGGATGGAATTGCCTCCACCCTTCGTTCTGATGCGTAAAAGAAACATTTTGGAGTAATATAGAACCAGGCTCATACTCCTGGTGTCCCAGGGGCACTGACAGTGCTACCTAAACTCATGTGGTCACATCCAGGCACACCACGAATTTGATGCAGAGAAGAGGACTGATGTATAAATGGAACAAGTAGGATTTGATGCACCAACTCCAGCTCGAGCTGCTTCAGAGAGACAATTTGTTTTTTAAAGAGGTAGAAAAACACTGTCATTTTCCCAACTCAGGTTGGAACTCAGCAGTAAAACCCACTCCTGAATCCAGAAAAGCAGACTTGCAAAAACATCAGCCCCAGACTCCGATAAGTTCAACACAGAAATGAATATGCACAGTAACTTAATACTTCAATAAATTATTAAGAAATATGTCAGTATTGCCTTTCTAGCTCCTGTACCCCGTGCAGACTAGAACTATTCTTTGCACGCTCTTCACAACACAGTCTGGTTTTGCAATTTGTATTTCAACTGCACATACCACACAGTTTAAGCCTGTTTTGCATGGGCTATTACAGCTGAAATCACAGTTACTGACCTGTCATATAGAAGTTTCCAATTTACAACCTCCAAGTGTGTTTCAGCAGTGGTAAGTGGATAATCTCTAGTGTATACATGGGAAACAGAGTGACAATAGGATAAACAGCTTGTCCTTTGCTGGCAGAGTCAGCAGCAGATAGCAAACACTCTTCATTGTGTAGAATTTGGCTTTCCAAACTCTTGAAAGACAAATTCTGTTGTCTGTTACATCCCTACTTTCTTTCCCAGAGGACCTGGGTTAGCATCTGCCTAACAGACACAATTTAACTCAAGATACAAGCCCACAGGGGCCAGCTTTTAGGTTCCCATTCTAACAGGATAGCCAGGGTCTAAGAGGCAACATCACCATTGCCAGATATCCTTTATAATATGGGATTTTTCTGCATTATGCAATCTGATCCTCTGTCCTGTAAGAAAAGCTCCGGGACACAAGTGGGTATTGCCATGGCTATCAAGTGCTTTCCCAAATGCCTGGCATCCAGCAGCTGGCTGCTCTACAACTGCAAATGCACTGGATGTGGGCAGCAGCCCCAGCGCTGGATGCTCCAGCCTGGGCTGGAACTGTGTGTGTGTGAACAGAGCGACTCACCAGCACAGGCACAGCCACCCGACACATTCTGGACAGCCAGGGTGATTTATTTCTTTGAGACGTGGCTCTCCCAAGTCCTTGCAATGGTTTTGTTTTGATCCAGACACCAATATCCTTCAGAGCAAAATCTGACCTTGTGGTCTTACGGTAGGAGCAGATTTCTAGATGTCAAGTAATTACTTTCAAATGTGGCTGTTTGGGTTTGTTAACAGTACAACTTTGCCTGATATGTCCTTGTTTTTAAAGAACAGTCCTGCACTGCTGAGATGGCTGTCGTGGTTTAGTTTTATGAAGTTTTCTTATTTCATTTTCTTATTTCAAATGTTTTTGGCTACTTGTTGCTGTGATCTTTGCAGTCCATACACAGATAGGTTGGTTAGTAGGAAGCTGCTTGGAAACAGTCTTAAATGAAAAGGGGCATAATCATGGAATTAGCCAAGATACATGGCACCAAAAAAAAGTGTTCATTCATGCCTGCATGCTGCTAGATAGATTAACCCTGTCACCTCACACCCAAAGCCCATTTCAGGGCACAAATGTACACAAATTTATCAGCGGGCTCCTCTTACTGCCACGCTTAAAAATGCAGCAAGTTTCATTTCCAAGCTGTGCACAGGAGACAGTCACGTCCAGAACCTGCATAAAACCATGTGTTATAAAGACCTTATATGGCAACAATTTTCAAAATCAGTGCTGTCCTAAAAGGGTGGGAAGCAAATCAGAGGAGTCATCTTCCACCTGCTATTCTGTTGAGAATAACAGGAAAGACAGCACTGCTACACCCATTATCCTTCACATTTTCTGCAGCAGGTGCTGCTACACTGTGGCCTGTTTGAAACACTGTCTAACCTGCAGCACCAAGCACCACCAAGCCAGAAACGTGGGCTTGAACATGGAGTTCGAGCCATCCCCTGCAGAGCAGCTTGTGATATGTCAGTGTAGGTTCTCAGAGCAAGTGTGAATCAGCCAAACATTGCAGTGAAAGCACCGTGATCTACAGAGGACCCTGTGAAATTCAGCACAATACCTGAAATACCGACAGGGCTGCAGCAAAACAAGCAGCACCACTGCCGTTCTCCCACGTCTTTTAGTGGAGAAGCCATGTAGGAGGAGGCTGTCTAAGTTGTTCTTATGGCTGATTTATTTGCAAATGCAGGTGAATGCTAGAGAAGGTGTGGGTTTAACTCTCCCCTGACTGATCGTTTCTCAGGAAAAATTGGGAGCCTTTGCACTCAGTAACTGCTGCACGGGTATTCCTTTCTTTACTCCTTCAGTTAAAGTTCAGCCTTGCCAAGCCTCTGCTTTCATGCAGAGGAGGGACAGTCATACATACTGTCCTAGTAAAGCACATCCCCTCTGTGCAGCCAAGTGACAGGGGGGAATTAGTGATGCTACTCCTTTCTCCCTCTTAGCAGTTTACAGCGAAGCACTGCTGTTTTTACGTTTCTGATGGGCAGCTGAGGTTCCAGCATGTCTAAGGGAGCACAGCTCTGCAAAGGACCCCTCATGAAGGGCAGTCAATGTCCCAGGACACAGCCTTCAACTTGAGGCAGGTTGGCACAAGCACCTGGCTTGGTACATGAATGGTAGTTCAGCAGAACAATCTGTCAATTTAAATGTGAAGCACTTCCAGGGAATTAGTCCAGATCCTCACTTTTCTAATTACTAGTGCAGTTTTGCCCTCCGTGGCTAAACATGTGCCTCTAACTGGAGCAAATGCTATTTACAGTTTTGACAAATCAGTTGCTGAGTGAGAGGTTAGAAAATGTTGTTGGCATACCATTAAAGAGAGACAAATAAGGGGAAGAAGTAATTAAGAGTGAGCAAATGATAACAGCTATTACACATCCTGACTTCAGAGGTTTGTTCTTATTCTGGGTTCTTAAACCTGAGCTCCTCAGCTAATGATGTATAGAGTTGCTTGCTACCAGATGTCAGTGTTTAAGAAAGAGGAGAAAAGAATGCACTTAACATTAATAAAAACACAAGAAGTAACTGTTGTACTTACCACAAGTCACGGAGAGCCACATCGTGTTTAAAAGCCCAAGGAGTGAGGAAACAGCACAACTTGCAGAGATTTTGAGCCAGAGCAAATAAGAACCTGCAAGGAAGAGCAAAGAGTTGTCCTGAGGATTCCACCGTGGACAGGAAAGAGAAACAGCACGGGGATGACATAAAAGCTATTCCAAAATCCGTTCCCACCTGTCACCAAGGGGCACTTACTGGCATGTTCCAGGGTCTGTGCTGCCCTGACATTACGGAGTCCATAGATCATACATTTAGAGGAGCATTCAGGTTCTTTGCCCAAAGTGATATCATGCCAAGGCAAAGGCTTGGTCTGAGTCCACAACTGGAATTAATGCCTTCAATGCTATCATTTGGTACTAGTTTTCTAGACAGTCTATGAAGTACATGCACTCCATCTCAAACTGGCAAGTCTCACAATCTCTCTGGGTGATATTCCCATTTACAGAGGCCTTGAGCATAACTGGAAGCCAGCTCTGGAAGTGTAATTGGAATTTGCCTGTTGAGTTAACAATTTTTTTTTTTTTTTTTGCCTTCAGTACAGGGATGCAAAGTCCTATCCAGAACTGTAAACTTTTCCAGCTCTGTAAAGACCTAGGCTCATGGCCAAAGGGCTGACAGGCCAGTATGTAAAATGGGTTATAGTCCCACCATCGCTTCGGAGGCTGCTGGGACAGCTGAAAACAGTATTTTCTTCCAGCTTTTACCTATACCTGCACTCAAGCTACAGACCTGGTGTGACAAAAAATAAAAATGCAAGCATTCACTCAGTCATTTTAGCTCAAGTCCAAGTCATCTGTCACTGAATCATTTATCTTTGGGATCCAAATGATACTTGTGCAGGGTGAAATAGCTGAGGTCAGCATCCTATCAAGTCACACAGCATTGCACTCAGTTACCTAATGTAGTCACACCTCACTATTGCTTTAATTTAAAACATGGTTACTGCACAACAGCAATCAGCACTTGTTTCAGAGTTCAGTACAGCAGACACTCAACCTTGACCCATATCTAACATGAGGTGGGTTTTTTTTCATTTAGTTGGACAATGATTTAGGATTGCCATCTTGTTAAGTGCTTTCACTGTTCCCCCCAGCACTTTACAGTGGAGAAATATACACCTGTGGTATATATAAATATATATATAATCTTGTAGGTGAGCACCCAAGAAACAAGGGAGCTGAGTGACATGACCAAGGACACACCAGAAATCTGTGACAGAGAATAAATGAACCCCAGTTTCCTAAAAACTGTCAGTTACCCAGGGCCTTGGTCTGTGATTGGGGCCTGTAAGTGCTTTTACAAAATAAATACATTTTTCTTATAATTAAATTCAGAAGAAGACCTAAAGGTGATTTGATTAGATCATATAAGTACCTTTATCATGAGAACACAGTGGGTTTTAAAGGGCTTCTTAATCTAGTGGAAAAAGACATATTACAAGAACCAATGGCCGGAATTTAAAGCCAGAAAATTCAAATTAGAAACAAGCTGCAGAATTGAGGGGTTTCTAACTGTAAGGATGATTAAATACTGGAAGGACTATCCTGGAATTATTTGCCTTTTGAATTCCTCACATCAAGAGTAGATGTCTCTCCAGAAGATCCAATTTTGTCAAACACAAGTTACTGGGCTCAACATGAGGGTAACTGGATGAAATGTCTGGTTTTTGCTAAGCAGGAGGTCGGATTAGATCATCTTATCATCCTTTACAATCTTAAATTCTATGAATCTATGAATAGTAATGACCATCATTGTATGTTACAGCTTGTAAAACAGCAAAGAGCACGCTGCAACATGGCTGGGAGACAGAATAAAGAAGCACGTTATAAAAGAAAAAAAGCACTTGGCTCTGGAATTAAACCTGTGACTGGTAATTATTTAAGCTTCACCCATGCGTTTCCAAATTTTCCCCCTAAACAATATTTTAATTAGGTTTCAGTTTTAAGGAGAAAAAAAATAATGAACCATTCATCAAAGAGGTATTACTGCGTTCAGAACAGTATCACCAACAGTCCCACACAACGTTTAAAACCCCAACTGATATAGAAATAGCTGCTGATTTTCGGGAATTAGACATAGGAGATCTGTAAAGGAGGGCTTTTCTATAAAAGGTTTTATAGGCCTGAGCCTGGGATTCCTCTATTATACTTGAGTAGCTATAAAAACTTTCGTGCTAGATCATAACAGTCTGTAGTTGTGAATGCAACAGATTTCACAGAAAATCTGTTTTAGCAATGTCTCAGGGAGTTTTTCAAATAAAGACATTGGCACTACTCTGTGCTTCTTTGCCCAGAAAGCAAAATTCTTTCACTGTCACGCCACAGCCTTCATCTTAGGCTTCCACACCGGTTTAAAGACCCACTCAGAAATCAGGCCCTGTGTCTCCTCCCTTGGGGTTGTGAATGTGATACTTGTTTGTCAGACAGAGGGGTCTGAATAAAATCCATGGACAGGGAGCTGGAGGCCTTCAGTTTGCATATCTGCCTAACGTTCATCTCCACACCATAACGTCTGAGCATCTCACAGTCTCTAACAGATTTGTCTTCCCACCACTTCCGAGATAACGAGAAGTGTAATTCCCACATTACAGTTAGAAAGCTGAGATATGGGGCACCTGAAGAGATTTTCCTAACATCAAACATTTGTAGCAAAGGAGGGGCTGAACAAAGGTCTTGCAATTCTGAAGAGGTGTGCCTCATATTCCAGATTGCCTTCCCCCTTCTGCATTTGGCTGGAATGAAAACGACTGAAAGAAAAGCGGCACAAAAAATCAAGTTAGACTAGAAAATTCTCCCTACAAAGAGCTGCCTTACTGATGGGGGGAAGGTAAAAGAGATATTATGCTTCACAAGCTTCTGAAAATTTCTACTAATGTCTTTCTTAAGAATTTCAGTCATTGATTTCATGTGTGAATTTTGGAAGGAAACACGCACACAGACACGCACACACAGAAGTCCTTCTCTTGGAACAAGAGCTAAAACTATAAAAGCAACAAAATGTGGAAAGCAGGCCTGCAGCAGTGTGGGTTGATATTCTGTCTTTAAATCATTCTGGCACTTGTTTTTTTCCCCTCGAGGTGGAAGTGGTAAGCATCAAGGCAGAACTGCAGTAGCCCTAAATCAGAACATGCCTCTGTTCATGGGTTTACAAACCAGACTCTTTGCATTCCCAAGCAGAGGTCTTGGTGGTTCTCTACAGTGCTACAAAGACAGTTCCTGCACAGCTGTTCCCTCTGTACAAGCCAGCTTGCTTTCTTTCTCACCATGTATATTTTAGTACTGCTGACATACTCTGACATGACCATGGCCTTCTTTTCTGGCCATATACAGGAGGCCCCTAAACATCCAGTGTTTGAAGGATCCAAATCCACAGTGCTGCTTATCCTGGAGAAGTCAGAGCAGTATAATCCTCCTGATATTGTGATACTAACTAAATTTTCTGAATTCTTTGCTATTTAAGGTACTCTTTTCTTCCTCTTTTCCTCTGTAGCTCTGTATCCTCACCCTCTGCATCCACCATCCAATTACTCATCTTTCTTTCTCTTTTCTCACCTGCCCTACTGAGCTCTTTAGTCCAAAGATGAGGTGACAGTGCTGTCTTCCCTCAAATCCCCTGGATCCTTCCTGCAATCTAACAAACTCTACCAAGCCAAATTCTCTCTCCTTTTTTCTCTCTCCTCCCCAACATTACATTTCTCCGCTCCTCTCTGTTCCCACATTTGAAATACTTCTTTAAAGCAAGAGTCTCTGTCTTCATGTGTCATTTTGATCTTCTCAGTGCTACCAATCAGGCTATTCCAAAACGACAGGAAAATATCTCTGGCCTGTTCATCCCAGTTAGTGTTACAGCACAAGCAGGAAGATACAGCAAGCATTGAAAAATCAAAAAGAGATCAAGGAGCACCTCGCTTCCAAGCTAAAGGATGTATGTGTGCAGCTCACTGGGTAGCAACAACATATTGTCATGATATTCCATGTTAATATTCCAAGGAGAAAACTGAAAACTGGTCAGATCACCTCTGAAGCACACCTTGTAATGTGGGCTAAACAAGAAGCCCACAAAGTCCAGCACCTCCTTGTCCTCCCAAGATGGTGCTGGACATCATTACAGCTGGAGGAGATGCACTGCACATGTCTCTGGTGCAATCACGTGCGTCTCCCAAGGTCAATTCTTCTATGAGCTGTGGGTGGCTGTGACATTTTTCCAGAAGACAGGCATCTGCCACAGCTCCCTGAATTATGGCCAAGGTAGCTCATGATTCATGCATGCCCATAGGCTTAATGCAGCAAGTGCATGGCAGGACAGAAGTGTCAAGTGCAGCACAAAGGCCAGTGAGAACAGGGGTGAATCAGGCCCTTCCCTGCCCGGGGTAAGGGGGGTGTAAAAGAGACACGAAAAAATAAAGCCAGCTACAGGTTATTAACACACTGGTGAATGTATTCCATGTTTCACCACCCCAACTGCTCCTCCTGCCCCCCAAACCCATTCCACCTTTCAGTGGGTGCCACCCTGTTGCTGCAAGAGAAGCACTCCAGTGATACTGAAAACGGAGCACGGCCCCATCACACCTTCCCTCTCCAGGGCTCACGCCACCCACAGCCACAGTGTAACACCACCTATGCATCAAAGTGACGGCAGTGCCTGCGTGCTGGACACAGGCAAAATTAAGTAATGATGCCAGCAAGGAAAGTAAAGGTCATGGACGTGGAAAAATTGGAAACAACAAATAAGCATTCAGGTGAGAATATATTTACTGCTTTCCTTTAGACAGCTAATTATTTTCTTTCTTGATATCTCTCGCCTTGCCAAAACAGCCACTTCTGGGCTGAGGCAACCACTTGTTTTGCACAGTCCTTGAAGTTGCCAGATTGATAGTTTAGTGAAGGCTGTAGGGTTTTCTGCTCTGGTGGCTGTCTTTTTTTGCAGAATCCAGACCCTTTTCCTGTGCCATGTGCCAAATCATTCCTGCAATGGGGCAGCAATATCCTGTCCTGCCTGGGGTTCAGGAAAGCAGTGGAGTTTTCAGTGTGATTGACATATTTTTGCCTTCAAACCAGCCTGAGCTCCCTTTGG